CCCCAAAACCCCAAAACCCCAAAACCCCATAAAGATCTCGATTCATTTTTTAAATCTGGCAGTATAATATAAATTTTGCCGAGTATAAATAAATATGTTTACGAATCGTTTGCATAATCTCTACTAAAAAACTTTCAACTATAGTCCTGAAGACCTCTAACTTTCTATTTCTACAACTTATAATGCACTTGGCTGATGCGTTTTGAAGGTAGATTAATTGTAGGAGAAATTGCAAAGTAAAACAAAAGGAAATCGCTTCCATTCAAGGCTCGTAGACCACGTGGAAAAATTCAAAGAAAAGTGCAACAACCTCTTCTTTATTAAGCCAATAATTGAAACCAATCTTGAATATCAGACTACAATACCGCATGACGAAAATATTTTAGATGTAAGCACTAAAATCATCTTTAATGAGAGTTGTTAGCCGGCAAAAAAGACGATGGGAGACGTTATTAAATAAGAAACTTACGAATCTCATTATCAATCTATGCATCAAGGAGATAGAATGTCATCTAATGTTTCATTAGATAATGATCAAATTCTCTTGGACGAACTTGAAATCCAGGAAAATCAGTTCAAGGATCCTATGATCTTATAGTCTATCAGAGATGACATTTTCAACCAGATAGAGCAGAATATGCAATCCGAGGATGAAAAAGAAGTAGAAATTTAATTGACAAGAAAAGAAACTTAAAAGTACATAAAGAAGGTAACTTAAACTGAGACGAAGTTGAAGGATGAGGAAATTGATTAAGAGTCTTAAAATTATGAACAAAATTTTGAGGAATCTGAAATATGCGATGTCAATGACATCAATTATGAGGAGATTGATTTGAAACCTTTTATAATGGCAGAATAATAAGAATTCAATGAAGAACTCATGAAGGGATTTATTTTGATTAACATAAGTGCCACTCATTGCATTTTTTAAGCACTATCTAAAATCATTAAGATATTAGAGGATCATATTGACCATCTCGTATAAAATGTCACTGAAGTCAACAGCAAGGAGGCAAATCTATTTATTATTAAATATAAGAAGCTTGATTTAGCTGAGTATTTTATTTACTCTGCATTCAAGGCCGATCATTCCTCGATCTTCTTTTAAAATGAGGATTCAGAAGATTGGAAAATTTTGAAAAGTGCCTACTAAGAAATTCCAATACAACAGCCCAAGAGATATCTTAAAGATATAAAGACTGCAATAAATGGTATTCATATGGGAGCTGCTCTAGTGAGTTAAAGTATGAAATCAGACAATGGCTTTACAAGATTTATGAGGTCAGTGGGTTTCATAACATATTACAAATTATAAAAAGGTAAAATGGAGAGAAGATTTGATTAGTTTACTTCAGATCCTAACAAAAAGCACCTTGGAAAAATATTTGAATATTTTGATAGTCAGTTCGTAAAAAATATGTATAAAATCAACATACCTAGTATTCTGATAAAGCAAAAGATCTATGTGCCAATGATGATGCCTAAACTCAAGTTAGAGGAGTCCTAGTTTTATGAGGAAATCAATTCTTCAAGAGATATTCTAACATTTCCCATAAGCGAAAAGTATAACTAGATTTAAGCAAAAGATCCAAGCTATATAACTGATAAAAAATTATTTGACAGGAAGTAAGTTTTATTCATTTTCCAATTATTGTATGAAAACTAATTTCTTTTAGTAAAATGGGAATGATAAGAATTCTAAGTAGCACGCCGCTAGATGTAGATTTTAAAACTAGAATAGTAAAGTAAAGAGAGAGACCTAGACTTTAAAAAATTGCGTGTTGTCTCTGCTTTTACAAAAAATAGTAACTGCCAAAAGATCTGATCAAAATCGATAAGATTATTATCCATATTCATGGAGGTGGATTTGTTTCCACAGACTCTTGTTTGCATCAGAGCTATACTAGAATGTGGGCTAACGATTTAGGAGTACCAATTTTTTCTATTGACTATGGACTAGCTCCAAAGCATCCTTATCCAGATCCTGTGAATGACTGCTTCTAAGCTTATTTTTGGATAATGAATTATGCTAAAGATTAACTTGGAATTGATCCTTAGAATGTTGTACTTACTGGTGATTCAGCAGGAGGGCATTTATGCACAGCAGTCGTTATTCTTAGTATTCTAAGAGGAGTACGATTACCTACAGCATTAATAATCCACTACCCTGCTCTAATGTTAGATCTTAATACATTTTATCCTTCAACACTCATTTCTTTCGATGATCCAGTTTTAAATTTGGGATTCCTTAAATTCTGCTTCTCTTCATTTGTCAAGAATGGAGAATCCAGTAAGAATCCTTTAATGTCTCCAGTATTTAGTCATGACTCAATCCTGGAGAAATTCCCTCCAACTAGAATAATGATTTGCGAGTCGGATCCATTAAGAGATCCTGCTTACGAACTAACTTTAAGACTTAAGAAATTAGATGTAGATGTTGAACTTTTACTTATGAAAGATTATATTCATGGATTTGATACTTATGATTGCAAGAATGGTGTGAAAGAGTTTCATCATGCAACACTTATCACTGAAAAAATCTTTAGGGATTTCCTTCAATTAGAAGAGATATGAATCAGCTGATATGAGTAAATCGAATTGCCTATTAATACTCCATTGATAGAACTATAATTGGTACCACCAACTTAACTGGCCTTTAATTCTATTTTTATTTAAGTATTAATTATCCTATTATTATTAACTCAATTTACTCCAATTTTTAACTATGGGGTTTTGGGGTTTTGGGGTTTTGGGGTTTTGGGGTTTTGGGGT